TTTCCTGCTTAGAAAGTCGTCTAATACGAAGGAAAATACGGTATATGTGCCAGTTTGGACTGCCAAGTAGCTGTAGGAAGAAAAACAGCTCCAACTTCCTACACAATTGCCCACCTCTGGTCTAGATGTGTGTGTGTGTGTGTCTGTCTGTCTGTCTGTCTATCTATCTATCTATCTGCCATTGTGGAAACAGAAGTGAGCAAGCAGCCATCAATCTATCCATCTATTTGCCTGCTGATCTATCTATTCCATAAACATTTTCTTTCCCACCTTTCACGAACGTGGTGTTACCAAGGCTGCTTACAATATAAAGAAACAAAATGCAAAGTATATATTAAAAAACACACCCACCATGCATTTAAAGAGTTTCCAAATAAGCTAATTATTTTTAACATCTAGCAGCAGCAAACACCATAAAACCACTTTTCAATTAACAACCAGAAAGGACATGTATTTTGTTTAAAGCCCTTTTGCACCTGTGCCTATGGAAGGAAGTCTTACCTTTTAATATAATTTTAGGTCAATAGCTCTGTGCATGTTGAAATGATAGCCACACTAAACCATTTGTACAATAAACATACATCAAAATAATTCAAAAATATAACATTCCTCCTGCCCTTTCATCACCACTGCTCTAGTCAAAATGGAAGTGCACAGAATTCCACCACTTAACACTTATCTTCTAATTCTGTATAATGCATAGTATGGTTCTGGATCACCTTTCCATGACAGTGTTAGCCCAGTTTAGAATAGGACCATACTGGGTGGGAACAATGGCATCACTAGGGCTGGCATCACCCAGTATGGTAATTCATGGTGTCACCTCTCCATTGATCTTCCCCCATACCACAGCATACAGAATCTCTAGTAAGGTTTTTTAGATGTTACTTATACATTGAAATTCCCATATATCACTGAATGGAATGGTAATAGTTGTAACATAAAGCAGCTGGCAAAATTAAAATTATACCTGTAAGGCTGCCTCCGCAGTGCAGAAATAATCAAGTTTGACGCCACTTTAACTACCATGGCTCCATGCTAGGGGATTGTAGGAACTGTACTTCCACGAGACATTTAGCCTTCTCTGTCAGAGACCTTTGATGTCACAACAAACTACAAATCCCAGGATTGCACAGCAGCACTAGGCCATGGTAGTTAAAGTAGTGCCAAACTAGATTATTTCTGCAGTGGGGGTGCAGCCTAAATTACGATATCATACATACAGCCTAAATGTATTTACATCTATATATCTTCATGTGGTGAAAGTGAAAATTGGGTAAGATTTGACATTTTTAAAGACAATTTGAAAATAATTTGAAAATTGCCGACCCCTGCTCTAGATGGTGAAATCATCTTCCTGGAGAAGCTAGACTGGCCCTCTCCTTGCAGTCCTTCCACTGGCAGGAAAATACATTGTTTTTGTTTTTGATGTTGCTGTTGTTATTATTATTATTATTCTGACAAGCATCTGGAGAACTGAAGGTTTTAAAAGAAAGGGCCTTTTAAGTAGTTGTTGGACTGTTTTTACTATACTAACTGTACATTTTAAAATCCTACTTTTAATCTTTTCATTATACGTACAGTTGGCCCTCTGTTTTCATAAGAAATCTGTTCCAAACCCGCCCCCCATGTGAAAACGGAGATCCGCAAATATGCAAGCCCCATAGGCTTGAATGGGGTGTATCCCCATGGGTGTGTGCCCCGTTGATTTAAACAGAGGTCAGCCCTCCGTGAATATGCAAAATCACGGACTTCAAGTCTGCAAGAAAGGAGGGGCGACTGTACTGTGTGTTTGTGTGTGTGTGTGTGTGTATTTTCTTCATAATTTAATTCCATTTTCAGTGTTTATCTTTTGTATGTTTTAACTGTATGAGATTTGAATTTGTAAGCTGCTTGGAGTTCCAATTTTGAAAAAAGGCAGAGTATAAAGAAAATTGTTAATAATAATAATCACAATCCTAATCCTAATTCAGAAACAGAAAATACTTTTGCATGTGGAAAAAAATGAACAAGCCTAAGAAAAAACAAGAATGAGAAACACATATAACACTAAAGAAAACTAGTAAAAGCAAGCAAACCTGCCTACTACTCCTTAGAAAGCCTTGTTACCAATCTAAGGTTGCTGCCACACTGCAGAATTAATGCAGTTTGACACCGGTTCATCTGTTAATGCTCCATCCTATGGAAGTCTAGGATTTATAGTTTACTGTGGCACTAAACCTCTCTGACAGAAAAGGCTAAATTACTCACAAGTCCCAGAATTCCGTAGCTTTGAACCATGGCAGTTAAAATGTTGTCAAACTGCATTAATTCTGCAACGGGGATGCAGCCAAAGAAATGTATTGTAGTCCATTTTCTGACTAATGAAATAATCCAAAGTTCCAGGAAGGCAAAAACAATTGTCACTGATCTTTTCTCTCCTCTTAATTCTTGTGGGGAGTGGGGGGGGGGAGGAAATCACCTACCGGTATAATTTAAGACAAATGTCATGCACAGACACCTGCATTCCAATTTGTTTGCACAAAATTATTCCAGTTTCAATAAATTTGGGAAGATAACCTCATAAAATTCACACCAAGGTTAATACTATGGGAGCGAGCTAATGTTCAACCCTTCCATGGTGACACATTCGATAGAATAAATCTAGTTTCGGCTCCAATTTATGGTTCACTGCCAAAGCTTTCCTACTGGGGAATACATCTCTACTATCAACCGTAGATCATAATGAACAGGTCTGGAACACCTGTGACAGAAAAGAGATTAATTCTAATAAACTGGAAATCACCAGCAATCCTCAGCAGCAGATTCATAATCTATTAGAACAGGTGAGTGATTTGAGAAATACTCCTGGAAGATAGTTTTTTAAAAATGGAGGGAGGGGGAAAAAATGAAGCGAGCAGCGTTACCTGAAGCAGAGACGCTACTGGGTTCACAAATATGGTGAACATTTGAGACTCAGACCAGGGAAAGCTGGGTTCAAATTCTTCCTTAAGCAGCTTCACATACAGATATTTTTGTGGTAAGGGGCTCAGGTCACTTTGGGAGGTGAAGCTAAACACAGTGTAGAAGTTTTGGGTGGGATACTATAGAATAGGGCTAGCATGATGTAGTGGTTTGAGCACTGGACTAGGACTCTGGAGACCAGGGTTCGAATCCTAGTTTGACCATGGAAACCTAGTGAGTCACCATGGACATGTCACACTCCCTCGGCCTCAAGGATTGGGATGGCAAACATCCTCTGAAGAATCTTGCCATGAAACCCCCATGATAGGGGATTAGGATTGCCATAAATCAGAAACAACTTAAAGGCACACAACAACAACTATACAATACCCAGAATACCCTAGCCAGCATGGACCTCACCTGGAATATTGTGTCCAGTTCTGGGAACCACAATTCCAGAAGGATGTTCAGAAGCTGGAGTGTGTCCAGAGGAGGGTACCGAAAATGGTGAAGGGTTTAGAAATAGGGTAGTTTAGGGATCTGGGCATGTTTAGCCTGGAAAAGAGAAGACTAAGGGGTGACATGATAGCCCTGTTTAAATATTTGAAGGAATGTCATATTGAGGATGGAGCAAGCTTATATTTTGCTGCTCCTAACCCGGAGCAATGGATTCAAACTATAGGAAAAGAGATTCCAGCTCAACATTAGGAAGAACTTCCTGACATTAAGAGCTGTTCAACTGTGGAACACACTCCATCAGAGAGTGGTGGAGTCTCCTCTGGAGTTTTTCAAACAGAAGCTGGATGGATATCTGTCAGGAGTGCTCTGATGATGTATTCCTGCATGGTAGAGGGTTGGACTGCATGGCTCTTATGGTCTCTTCCAACTCTATGATTTCGTGATTCTATGACAGTGATCATTCTATATGGAAGAGATCCCATAATCCCACAAAATGACATTTCCAAGTGCTGTGTTTAACACAATTTAATTGCATTATACACTTCATACAACTTTTAAACATGGTTCATGCTTTCTAACTGCTTCCCAACCATTCCATGTGTTTATATAGGCATCCCTCAGTAACAAGGTCTGTGTGTCTGAGAGAGAAGTTCCTTTTTAAAAAAAGTTTGTTAGGCCTGTCTGGATCCCCTTTAGTTTTCTGTCTAGCTGGGAGTTTATTTTAGCAGCATTGGCATGAGGATGATGGTGACCAAGGGCTGAAGACACTCCACAGTGAGGTTGCAGCAGTGTGTCTTCAGTAACCAACACAACAATGGATGAGCTGGGAAAGAATAGGTTTCTAATAGCTAGGATTAAGTGCAGAAGGCCTACGAAGAGGAACAATTCTAGACATTCAGGATCTAAACAAGATATTTTATTTTCTCAACATGGCACTGCAGTTGACTAATACAGGAGGTTTTATATCATGCAAGAAGATATAGTTGCTGTCACTTTTCCAAGTGTCCCCACCAATTGTCTACCTATTCATTCCTAGGTTGAAAAAATGGGTTTACCAATAGTCAAGAAAACCTACTGGGAACAGTAAGCCCTCCATATCTGCCGACATGCCATTGTGAAAGAATGATATTTTTGTGCACCAAAACCCCCCATATGTGCAAAAAATGGTTTTCCTACACAGAAAAAAAAATGTTTCCTGCCCCATTCTTTCTCTGACAAATTTGTTGTTCTGTGCCCAGTTGATTCTGACTTATGGCTACCCTAAGGTGAACCTATCATGGGGTTTTCTTGGCAAGATTTGTTTAGAGAGAGTTTATCTTTGCCGCCTTCTGAGGGTGAGAGAGTATGACTTGCTCAAGGTCACCTAGTGGATTTCCATGGCTGAACTGGAATTCAAACCCTGGTCTCCAGGTTCGTAGTCCAATGCATAGACCACTATACATGCAAAATTAATCCTCAACAACATTTTGGACATTTTAATTTTGAGCTGATACTCCAGAAGTATTTACTGCAGGGAGAAAGCTACCATAATTATTCATCCCCACCGTTTGAAGACTTGAGGATATATCTCCCTAATCTACACCAAATCATCACTCCCTTAAGCCAAGATTCCTCTCATCTTTCTACCCTTTCTCATACTGGGTCAAACTTGAGGGGGGATTTGGCAAAAGGGGAGGGGTAGAGATGATAGATGGTTTGAACCCATTTTGCTGGATGGCTAAAAAATAAAGTTTCTTGGCAATAAGTGGTTGCAAACAAAGCACACCTTATATTCTAAGATCTGGATGATTTGAATAAAAATTGACATTCTTCTTATAGGGTTTTAAAACATGTTGAATATGCAAAGCCTGTTATTCTGGAATTGCTTTGGCCCCTCAAGAGAGCTATAAAGTGACCCCCACAGTGCCTTCTATTAGCAGAATTGTTATAAGGCAGAGAACTTGCCATTTGCTGAGACAAGGTTTTCTTAAATCGTGTGGCCAAATTCTAAGTGAGACCATCGTTCACTGCAATCAAATCACAAAGGTCAAGAGAAACCCTAAGGCCACAAAGAGTTTAAGAAGGACACTCCACCATGGCATTCTCTGGCAGAAGCCACATTTGAAGTGAGAGTATGGCAATGCTCTTTCTCAGCATTTATTCTTTGCCTTTGTGAAGAAAGATTGCGTCTTAAGCCAAAGAATGGCCACCTAGTGGCACCTAAGACCAGTGGTGGTATAGGGGTTGTAGATGAAAGATGGTCAACCTCTGGCTTATTTTCTGAACCTGGGATGCTCTGGCAGGGGCTGTACAGGGACTGCTCGAAATGAGGGGAGAAAATTCGTTCTGAAAAACTGGTATTTCTTCTTTGTAATGAAGTACAGGGAGGGCCTTATTTAAAAGGTGAAATGCCACTCATAAAAGTCCACTGGTTGATCTTGGGCAAGTCACGTTCTCTCAGCCTCAGAGGAGAGCAGTAGCAAACACCCTTTGAAGAAAATTGCCAAGAAAACCCTGTGATAGGTTCACTTTAGGGTCGCCATAAGTCAGAAATGACCTGAAGGCACAAGACAAGAAAAATGAGCTTCCAGGAGAAGCATTCCACCTCCTTTTTGCCAAAAAAAGTACTTTGCCTTTGTGGCAAAATGGAATGTTTGGTTTGGAGACTGGGGGCCACAAAGACTCCTTAGGGCTTGTGTGTGGCCCAAAGGCCACAATTCATCTATCACTGGGTGGAGTACTGGACTAGATCTTGTGACATCCCAGTCTCCAATCTAGTGATGTCTTGCTTCCAGCTACTGCTCCACAATGTCACACAAGCAATTATGTAAAATATATGAGTGTTTTTTCCTCTTTCTCTTTTTTATTGAATTAAAAAAAAAATAACCCAGAGATCTGCTATTCTTGCAATATAGGCTCTAAGTGTCAGACCCATGTGCATAATTCTGTTGTGATGTATTATGATACAATAGCATGATGATATATTGATATAACATTGTGATAATCTTATGAGGTATTAGAAGGATGGATATGGGGAATATCAAAATATATTGAATATTAATCATTTGGGTGCTATGGGCATGGGAACGAATAGGGAGGCAAATGGCAACAGGATGAAGGTTTATGGTTTTATGACCCTGTTTTTCCTGAATGAGGATCTGGCTTGTATCCGAGGGATGTCTTCCTCCCTTTCTTAAGGGAGATTAAATGATAAACACAGGAGGGAGAAAAGGGGACATGAAAAGTTGCTTTGATCAAGATCAAAGGGCTCTAAGGAAGAGGGGTTGGATAACTTGTATTCTTACACTATGGTCCAGGAGAAAGAGCCCCATTTCTGACACAGAACCCGGATGGGAGATTTCTGTCTCAAATCCCGGAATAAAAACTTTTTTGTTTTCTATCACAAGAAGATGATCTGGGGAATGAGTTGGCCAAACAGTGTGTTGGAACTCATAACAACAGCTCGTACAATGCAGTAACATTCAGACTGAGATGCATCCATCCTGGAGGAGCCTTCCTAGAAAGAGCTGGAAAGTGACCAGGGAGATCAAAATCTGGAAGAGTGTATGGATCCTGGACAGGGAGCCAGACCCAGAGAGCCCCAAGTCACAGAGGGAGGCATGGGGATTAGAGAGTAGCTTCAGGAGGAGGCCCAACAGGCTGTGCAGGATTGCAGGAATGCTCCCCAGAGGAGGAGGGGGAGAGAAGAATGGCTTTGGGAGAATCCCAGCAAAACTTGAAAGTCTGCATCAAGGAGGACAAATGGTTCTGAACCCTGATTCCCACCTGGAGCTAGGAGTGACCTGGGGAGAGGAAAGCATCAAGCTGGGGCATTATGGGATGGATTTTATACCAGACTTGTGCGATAGCAGGGGGCAAAACACCATATTGGTGGTAATGGGCCTATTTTCAAAATAGGCACATTTTGTGGTGTACAGAGGCTTACTGACCATGGCTAAACTGGCCGATTTGTTCATTGGCCATGTGTACAAACTGCACAGGCTGGGACAGAATGGGGCAGTTCACTTCACAGTTTTGGAAGATTTTGCAAAAAAAAAAAGTTAGGGATCGAGCAGGCGATGAGCACCTCTCATCACACAGCGACAGATGTACAGTCAGAGAGAATGAATGCCAGACTGGAGCAATAGTTACAATTCTATGGAAATTGGTTTGACTTACTGCCCCATGTGGAGGTAGCATTCAATGGGGTCATTAACCAGAGTACTAGTCATTCCCTGTTTGAAATTGTTTATGGTTATGAACCAAGGACCTTGCCTTCACTGACAGCAGAACTAATGGACCGTGTTCCAATTTTCCAATGGATTACAAAAATTAAAGATGCCTGGCCCCAAAATGTGACTGAGTTGGAAGGGGCAAAGAGTGACAACAAGAGGTTTGCAGATAGCAAAAGGGGCAAGGAATGAGACTTGGCTCCAGGGAGCAAAGTTTATTTGTCCACCAAACATCTGAAGACCTGACAACCATCCAAGATACTGGGACTGAAATATGTGGGACCATTTGTAGTGAAAAGACTGAGCAATGAAATGACTGCAGAACTGGATCTGCCTAAGTCCTGCAGACATCTGCACCCAGTGTTCCATCTCAGCTTGCTAAAGCCAGCTTTGACCACAAATCCCTGGCAAATGGTGGAAGGAGAACAGTATTTTGAAGTTGCTGGGATTTTAGACTCAAGATTATATAGGGGAAAGTTACTGTATTTGGTTCATTGGAAACATTTTCCTGAGTCTGAAAATGAGTGGGTGTATTGGTCACCATGTTGATGCCC